CCGGTGGGATCACACCAATTCCGCAGGGTTGGTCAAAGCAGCTCCCCAAATCCCCAGTTGGGCACCACTCCGCTTTTATGGAATGCCTCAAAGAGGCAGGCAAGTGAAGGGCTTGGGGGTGCGACCTTTGCAGTGTGAGATGTTGTCGAAACCAGACCTAGCTCAGCGAAGGTCTTGGATCTCGACTCAGCACCTCAGATCGCCCTCCCAGCCTTGTGCTTTTGGAGACTCCCAGCGTCGAAGCAGCCCAGCGGGTCGTGCTAGGACATGACAAGGAAAGGCATGACAACTATTGACAACTCACGAGTGAATGAGCATGTATGAGCATGCTGCCGAGGAACTCCATGTTCTTTAAAGTTGCTACTATTGAACGTTCAGCCTTGATCTTCCAACTATGCAAGATTTCTGATTTAACTGGCTGGTTTTATAGATGAACAGGCAGCAAATTTTGCACAGTTGGAAGATCCATAATCCAATACATTGAGTCCCCCCTATAGGACACTACTTGGACCTTCACTTTGCGACCACATCAAGGTGTCTCCCTGCAAATCTTCTGACAGAGTATTTGGATTGGAATAAGTTGACCATGCGAAAACATTAGTCCTGGAGTCATGGACAGTGACAGTCATGGTCCAAGAAGTAGCAAACAACACCTGCCTACAGGCCTTTGGCGGGAAGAAGTGCAGAAGCTTACTGAGTAGGGGCCGGCCCCGAATCCTGGGGTCAGGGGTCTGGGGTTTCTCACCAATCCTTGGGTTTTCAGGGACCAAGAAAGGCCTGAAAGCTTACGAAGCGTTTGTGCGTGTTTGGGCAATCCTTCTCATGACATACCCGTTTTCAAGGTGGATATCTCCGGTGCACTTGGGTTCGCTACAAAGGGCCTATTTTATGTGAAAACGTGTTTTACAGCTTGGCAAGGCTGGTGGTCAAAGTCGCCTTCGGGGATTTTTCACCGGTCAAAAGTCATCTCATTTTCAGATGTACTGGGTGGTGGTTTCAGATACGATGTTTGACCTTTACTTGGGATGATTTCAAGCGGCCCCACTCCACTCATGTACTCTTTTTGTTTCCAGTGAGTCGAATCCACCAACCAGTTTATGGCATCTTGTGAAGCCGCAAGATGCGCGGTGGAACCCGCACCTCTCCGAAAAAGATCCGCCGTTGGCGTCTCAGTTGGTGCGCTTGCCTAGGCTTGTCTCGTCGGACTCGATGGACTCGATGGGGGGTGGAGGGCCTCGGAGAACATACACTCATGAGTGTGTATACCAGCACACGACTACAGGTCTCCGAAATGGTGGCGCTGAAATGGAGACGACCCAAAGTGGTAGGTGGTGACCTGTGAAGTCGGGTGCTGGTATATAGTCCTTCGAATTCCCACCCAGACACTCATTGACCCTCCTAAGCCAGACAATCCTCTGGAGTCCGGACCGGCACCGGCCGCCCACACGGAGCAGTTGGGCGATGTTCGTGGAATCCCAAGAACCAGCTTGTTCATGCATGGTTTAAAGTCTTTTTTTGGGGGGTAACCATGGGTAACCCCCAAGCCAGCGACCAGCGACCAGTGACTTCGAGCTTCGACCTTCGAATTCTACCAGGACCATCCGTGCGTGTCCAAAACCCACCGGACGAACGGGTTCGGTCCTGGTACATGGGGGCATTTGGGCAAGAGGTCTCGACTCTCGCCATGAGTCTGGACCGTTCGATCGGTGCTTCTCCGTTCGACCAGTCCGGTGCTGGCCATCTGCCAGAACCCTACACTGCTAAAAAATGCATTCAGAACGGAAGTCTTCCAATCGACTGGAATCCACCTGGACTCCACAGGGACCCCAAGACCCCTCGATCTGAGTCGTTCAGCCGCGATCAAGGCGCTCTATGCTCTTTGGAAGACGAAGGACCGACGGGGCGCATGGATGTGGCGCGGAAAGAGAGCGCGAGAGACCCGGTTTGTTTCTCAGAGCTGGAGCTTGATGTGAAAACAATGGAGGCGGCAAAGGCTCATCATCCCTGCAAGAGACCCCAAACAGTGTGTTTGTGTGAGGTCTAGAGGTGAAGCAGCAGAAAGTCTAGAGATCTAGACGCATTGGGGTCCAGAGAGGTGATGGTGGTGATGAAGGTGGAGATCGTGGTGATGGTGGTGGTGGTGGTGAGTGAGTGAGTGAGCGAGTGTGAGTGTGAGTGTGAGTGAGAGTGAGAGTGAGTGAGAGTGAGTGTGAGTGAGAGTGAGAGTGAGTGTGAGTCGCTACTACGGGCTCCTGGCCTTACTACTAGGAGCAAGGATGCTACTAGGGGTTCCTGGCCGTACTACTAGGAGCAAGGACGCTACTAAGCCAAGATCCTGTTCTGGACTGCCAGGATCGACTCCACTCCATCATAGCACGTGCTACGAAATCTGCACTGCAAGGTCCACAAAGTACTGCACCGCCACGAAATGTGATCACCAAGTCCAAAAATGCGCACGGCCCCACAACGAGAGCACGCACGTCCCGGGCAATGTGCAATCTCTGAATCAATTTTTCTGGGGGTCGGGTCCAGTCCAATTTTTTGGAAATGCTTTGACTGTACTATATAGGTGACCCAGTCCATGAATTTTCCCTCGTCGCCGCAAACGCTCCAAGCCGCCCTTGCTCCCTCGAAACATTTCAAAACATGGGGATTCGGACCCGCCCCCTTTTGAACGGAGGGTCCAGGGTTGCGTCTGGGACCTCAATATGGCCAAGGATAGTTGAACTGGACTTCGAGGGACTTCATTGTCACCAACACCCTGGGTCCCCGTCTTTCAGGGAAGCACCATGCCACTGAACGTGAACAGAAAAAACGTCTCTTTGATTAGAACTCAGTGGAGTTTTTCTGTGGACAGAAGCATGCTTCAGGGATGTCTTGTAGTTCCGTGATCCAAAGGCTAGGAGCAAAATCACTGCACTCTCGGGCCTTATCCAAAGAGCTGTTCGTTTGGGGCCGGTTAGTTGGGTCCAATGGTCATAGAATCAATTCGTGTCAGGCCGAGGGCGACGAATTCTTCAGCAAAGAGCAAGCAGAGGCGGTCAGGGCTACAAAATCAATCCCTAGCAATCGAAATTATTTACTTACAACTGCCCGTATAATTTATAACATCTTATAACATCTTAAAGTCGCCCCAACTGATCGGCAAATACCTCCTCAGTGTGTGTGTGTTGTTTTGTTTCACACATCTTTTGGAGTCACAGCCTTATATCTAGCTGTCTCGTCTATACACGGGCTACGGGCGTTTATTGGTGAGCCACCAGGTTTCTTCCCTGTGTGTTTTTGTTGTGGATGTTATGTCGTTCACACAAAAATATTCAAGCTAACAATCCATGTATATATAGAATAAATTTACCATTATTTACCTACATTGGCCCTAATATGCCCTAATAGCTTAACATCTTACAATCGCCCCAACTGATCGGCAAATACCTGGAACTTCTCAGTGTGTGTGTGTGTGTGTTTGTGTGTGTGTGTTTTGTTTTGTTTTCATTTGTTTATCTTAATCTGCGACATGAAACACATCTTTTGGAGTCACACAGTTATATATATATATATACCTGAGTCATCTTGAGTCTGCGGGATATTTCTCTAGTTTTCTCGTCTATAAACAGGCTACGGGCGTTCATTGGCGGACCACCAGCGTTTTTGCCTGCGTTCTTTTTCCGGGTTATTTGGTTTGTGGATGTTTATGTTCGTCACAAACCTAAATATTCAAGATATAAATTGAACTACTGACCCCCCCAAAAAAACACCAAGCTCGGTTCCATGGATTGTCCGGGTCCCATGGATGGTTTGGGTCTGATTTGGAGCGGCCTTCTGTCGTAGTCAAATGTTTGTTGCTTTCTGCCCAGCCGCGACCCTGTGCCCTCCGTTCAGTCGGGGGTGTTGGAGGGACCGGGAAAAGGGATGATTTTCGCGGAGCGTTTGGGCGGGGAGCATCAACGACATGCTGCTTTAAGAATCCGGGCCCTCCAATAAATTGGTTCGGGTCCGGACCGCAAAGGTGTCGGGTCCGACCCTGGATCTAGCTGTCAGTGGTCCAACAAATGTCAAACAGCATCCAGGAGACGGGTGGTCAGTTATTCTCTGGGATTGCAACCCCCATTGTATTTACTAAAGGACCATTGTTCTAATAAGGACTTTAGACTATTACAACTTCAGGTTAACCATTATTTTAATGGTTGAACTGAAGGCTAGTGTATTGAAGATATATACTCAGGTGGTTCTATGAACCACCCGAATTGGGTGGTGCTGGAAGGTTCATGTCCCTAGTATTCCGGTCGCTCACCATTGATTTAATGGGTTGAATCCGGGCAAGCAGTAGCTTTATGTATTAAAGATTTTAGACTAGTACCACCAGGTCGTTCCCATTTTTTCACATTTTTTTTCAAGGCCAGGGATTTCAGACCAAGGTCGACGCCAAAGACTTGCCAGCTTGAAATGGCCGGAAGAAGAGTCGTACCCATCGTAAACGCACGGCAAGTTTCATGAAGACATGAAGACGCCGTCTCGGCAGCATGGGCTCGAGTCACTGGCATGTTGTTACAAAGACGAAGCCACGAGGGCGAGCAGTTAGACGGGCTTGAAGAACCGGCCAGATGGCTTTATTCCACATTTCAGAGAATGTGACAGGTGATCAGACGTCTCCCTTTTTTAGATATCCTATTGCCTACAACCAGGGTAAACTGAGTAACCAAGTTGCCAAAGAGATTTCCCAAATCAGCAATGTATATACACCCTGTAAAAGGGTGCCTCCCTTGTTCGAGACATCTCCAAAAGGTTGGAGGGACAGGCTCTTGAGACGCTAACCACACAGATAGCGGTATGATCACGCATAAGCGTGCCAAGCTGTATTTTTACGTTCATGAACCCTAGCCTTCCACGACTATGGTTGAGCTGGTTTCTTAGTCGAAAAATCCAGAATCCTCAATAAACAACTGTGTTTGTTTGGTAAATTCCTATTAAAACAATGGTTCTTGAAGTCCTAGGGGTGAACAATGCTTCAGCCTCCTCCCCACCGCCAGAAGCATGTTTGGCACGCCCAAATTCGGCCAAACATGACGACTTACGACTTGGCGGCTTGCCTGCGACTGCTGCTGCAAAGTATCCACCAAGGCCCGGGAGGTCATGGACCAGACCCGTAGACGCACCGGTGGACCGGTCGGTGAAACAAGGGTGGGCCAGGCACGGGGCGGTCGGATGGTGCCAGGTCGGCTGACTCCAAGGTGGTTTCAATGAGGCAAACGGATTGGTTTCTTTGGCAGTGGCCTATTTGGCGTATTTGGTGGGATCTTTTTCTGGATGAGATGCCAACACAGAATTCGTGTACGCATTCTGGGATGTCACTGGGGACCCGAGTGGCTGTGCAAACCTCATAATACTACTGTACCCCTTCACCAATAAACACGGAAGTGGACAATGTTTGTAGTGGTCAATGGTCTTTCACCATTTTCCACTTCCATGATTGTTTCAACGAGGGTGTAAGTTTTGCATGAGTAATGTAGCACATGTTTTTAACTATATGTGTTAACGTTAACAACAGCCCACGCATCCCTACTTCTATCCTTTGACCCCAGTTCGGCCCATTCTTTGGAAGCACGTACTCACCTCCAAAACCATCCTTTGCAATTTTGAAGGTGAAGTGAAGGAAGTTCTTTTCAAGGTCCCCTAAAGGCAATCTTGTTGACTCCCTATTGACCCGAACACAAACCATCCCCAATCGCCTTCCAGTCGCTGACTAGTCACCGGCTCGATCGAAGAATTTGGCCCCGGCTTTTTCGTGGCCGCCCGAAGGGCCTTCCGCCCGTGCACCACTGACGTGATTTTAGTTGTGTTCTTTTTGTCCAAACAACCCATGCAGTGATTGTGTGTGTTTTAGTCTAAATGATTTTGCAATATACAATACAAAACCAGGTCAAGCATTTCACACAAATACTTTTGAACGGATGGGGCATCCGTTATGCGGTCCACCAACGTTGTAAACCAGACCAGGGAATTCAGTTACCACTATAGCTGGTAACCAGTCGTTCCAGTTTGACTAAAACCACAGACCGAATAAAGTCCTGGTTCCTGGGTAGTATATTCTTCCGGTGACCAGAGTTGGTGCCTAGCAGATAGTCGAAATGGACTTCCCTACAGAGGTTAAGTAACCGTAAATAGGACCCGTCACCAGGGGTACCCAAGCGGGATAGTCTAGTTCTTCAACCTCTGGTCCTTTCTTCGGTCGACTCCTCCCCATCCAGACTGCTGGTGATTATCCAGACTGGAAGAATTCCACCCAGACGCAAAGTCTGGACCCTCCCAACTAGGGGCTGTATCCTCATACCGAGGGTCCGGGCCCTCAAATCTCGGTTTTGAGGGACCGGTCGGTTTGTGAACGGAGCGTCTGGGCATACCTTGAATCGCTTGAATGGGGGTGGTTCAGATGTTTTCAGTGGTCTTGCTGGGACGAATCTTCTCCGCCCATCCAACATTCGAAGGTACCGGTTCCCGACCCGCGCCTCGGTACCACTGGACCCGACTGGTCGGCCTGCTCACCTGAGATGCTACGGCGCGCATCCGGAATGGATTTCTCCGAGTCGAGTCTTCCAGTCGATGGCAGGCGATGAGGTGGAGTGGCAAGGCTGCCTGTGGCGCGTCGAGCTGTTGCACGAGGACCGCACCGTCACCCTAGTAGAGCCGCCCAGTACGGGCGGAGCGTCCGGCGGCGCAGCACGCAGGCTCCCGAGCGTCACGTGGGCGTGGGTGGGTGTGGACTGGACTGTTCAAAGCCTGAAAGAGTGGTCACTAGGCGGGCACTAGGCTGGGTATGGTTCAGCATGTCACACCATTGCTGCCGCAGTTCAACTTCTGGCCCCTCCTATATAACGCAAAGCCGGCAATGCAACGCGTGCTCTTCGTCACAGCCGGCTGGTGGCCTGAGGCGCCGGCGGAGGAGCGCTAGATCCGCCTAGACCCGCGCTAGATTCGCGCTAGACCACTTTGGAACCACTTGCCCAGGTGCTTCGCAGCGACCACAAGATGCATGCATACATCCAAAAACCAAGGGTCCACCTTGAATGCAGCCTGGGCAGAACAAGGAAGAGCCCGTGGTTTGGTGGCTGGGCCCTGTGCCCTGGCCCGGTGCACCTACATCACGATCCTACGTGGTGGCTCAAGAAGGGGTTGCTTGTCAAAGGAGTACAGAAAATGGCTCTTGTCTGTGAGCAGGGTGTACAGTCTGTCGCCGACCTCAGTGAGGATTTGGTTGGTTGGTGTCCTCATCAACTGCCTGCTGATAAGCCAGAGCTTCATGAGGCTTCAAGGCTTCAGCCCTCTCATAGGCTGCAGCCACATGGGGGTTGCTTCTGAGCGGCCTTGGGCTTCATGGAGGTCACTTCACACCTGGGAGTGTCTCCGGAATCGAGGTTATGTTTGATATTCACAGGCACGATTGACAGTGTGTGGAAGGAGTTGAAACGATATGTGCCCAATGGAACGCACAGTGATTCCAAGAAAATTGAAGCGTAAGTGACGCGTCAGCTTCAGTGCAATTGAACAGTTTGATGCGTCCTGTGCCTGAAACACGAAGGCAACAACAGCACTGAGGTGAAACGGTCATTTGGTCAAATCGCATTGTAAATTCCACCTCAAACGATGAAACAACCATCAAACATGTCCTTAAGGTGCAGGTTTCTGTCATGATCCACCAATGACCGCTGCTAAGCACGCACACACCCACACACTCGCCTTCACGTTCACTTTTCAATCCCGCGGCTCATTGATGTATATATCTTATGGTTTTCCATCAGCAGTGGGATCAAACACTTTTCACCACCTTAATCCCGTCGTCCCCTGCCTTGAACTGCCGAATTGCTGAGTGCAGGCGGGTCTTGTTGCGCGATTGCCGCCTGCGACTTCCGCGCGGAGCCTTCCGGCAAAAGAAGTTCCTTGGCAAAAATAAGATCACTCACATGCCTAGCCAGGAGTTCAGTGGATCATTTGCAGGTGACCTTTTTCGGGGGGATTGGGGACACGAAAGAAGAACAACCAACAGTTCCAAAGGGGTGCTTACTGGCTAGGGGTGCCCATTATCCTGGTTTTGCTTGAGATGATTTTTTCCCCCTACTAGTATGGGAAAATTTCAGAACTTCTGGTGCATATTAAATTTCATGTTCCCGGCTCCTGGAATCAAATCCAAATTATCCACCAACTGGATGGGACTAAAAACCATCCCTGAAAGGAGAATTCTGGAAGTGATTCTCGTTCGTAGTTTCACTGCTGCATTTGGCCGGGAAAGAACGCCTCGCCACGGCCTCGTCTGGGGCTCGTCTGAGTGGATCCCAGATGCTCCGTTCAGTCCTTGGTCCTGAGGATTCGGGTCCGAATGTCTCCAGAGTCTTTGGGTCCAGTATTAATTACCTCTGGGTAGGTACTATGTGCACGGAGAGTTCAGTTGGCCGGCTGACCTGGTTTTAAGTGTATATATATATACTGCGAATGGAAGTGCAGCGACATGTACAGTGCAACATGTACATATATATGTACCATATGTACTTTGGCTCAAGGCTCAAGGATCAAGCGACTAGAAAAGGTGCGGTTGCCGTTCCGACGCTACGCCGCTTATGGACCGTCAGTGATAGCTTCAAACTTCGCTGATTAAGATCCACTCGCATATACCTATAAGTTATAAGAGTCTGCAGTCTTTGTAAAACAATGGTTTTTCTGGTACGTAAGAACCATGAAATCAAATGGTGGTTGGATGCCCAGGTTATAAATATGCCAGTCCCATGGAGTGTTGAGGTTGAGACTTCGTGCTTTCCTCAGGTTGAGACTTCGTCCAAAAACGGTCCCAGCACATGAGTCATCCAATGCAGCACATGCAGTGGGCCGTCATGGGCCTTGTCTCAATTGAGGACTCTCAGGAGAGAGAACCTGGAGTTGCTCAAGAGTGCCTCGAAATCTTGGTTCTTTGGTCTGGCAGGGGCAGGGGCCCAAAAATATACCCAACCGCTCCCAAATACGGTACCTCTCTCACAGGAACCAAGCCTTTCATCGACAATATTCACCGCGGTGTCAGGAGTAAGTCTACGAGACATTCGGCATGCACCATCCCCCAAAAACCCACCGGAATTTGCACACCCACCCTCCTTTCGGGGCGGACTCGACCCGAACTTCTGGAGGGGTTTGGCTCAAATCCCCAGCTTTGCACGGAAAGGCTTGACCAAGGGCTGTTTGGAGGGTTTTGGTCAAAGTGATTTTGTATTGCCCCAGCTTTGCCACAACTTCTTAGAGCTAGCTGGACACAACTGCTTGGCAACCAGTCGTACCTGTGTTTTTGGGTTCGGGTCATGTCCCAATTTCTCGGGTACGAAGATCGGGTCCAGGTGCATGTTCGAAGCTGCGATTCTCTAGGAGTCCAAGACCGTTTCAAAAATATGGTTGACCTGGTTTTGTAGTCCTGCGCAAAACAATGGACCCTTTTCCCTCAAGGTCCAGGACCCTCAGGTCCCAGTTAATTATATCAACATTGTATCTTATATGCAGTATGTTGAATGCATGTGCGGAATTACGAGCCGATGCAGTGTTTGGACTGGCTGCCACACAAGCAATGAGACTAGCCGACTAGCCGAGCCTACACAAGCCCTATAATGCCCTATATAGGCTTCAATATTTCGGTATTTATATGTTACTAAAATTGTAGTTGTTTTTTGTTTAAACCAAGCGACCATAGTTTTTACTGAGGATTTGAATTTGACACTACAAAAGCAGGTCAACCGAACTCTTCGAATGACTTGCAATGGTTTTTGGAAGACCTCCGGGGCTGGCAGTATGGCACTGGGGGGACAATGCCAGGAGCTACGACCAAAAAGTAGCATCCGGATCGCTCCGTTCGTAGCGATGCTCTTTGTTCCTGGTGGTAGCTTCTTGCTACTAGTGGTAATGCCAGGAGCTATATACACCCTTGAATCAACTTTACCTACTAAGGAGGTCAACCTACCAAGGGTGAGTTCCGGGCTCTGGGTGTTTGTTCCTCACAGCTGGCGACCGTGGTCTCCTCGTGACCTCGTGACCTTCGTGACCTCGTGAGGTGAGGATCATGGTCGGCTTGATGCCACCGGGAAGGGCTGGAGGAATCAGACTAGAGTCCAGCCTGTGGACGCTCGCTCCGAAACACCACGGCGCCACCGGGCGCGTTTCCACGGCGCGTTTCCTTTTACGGGTGGAAAGACGGCGCAGAACGCTCGCCGGATGGCCGTTCGGTCACTGGAGGAGACGACTTTGGCAGATGTTAGGTCATGAACTGAAGAAGCTGCATGTCCCATGTTCGTCAAAACCCAGTGACTGATTGGAATAGTTGGTCATTCTTGTGGGTGCTGGCAACAAATCATCACTGGCAGGATTTGTGTTTTTTTGCTGAATCACTTGCCCTATCAACAGGAACCCAAAGGGTCCAAGACCATGCGAATCGAATGTCCTGCCAGGCCCCAGGTCGACTTCCTTCACCTCCAAGACCATCCGAAGTACGGAGGTTCCTGGACCCCGTAGGGAGCAAACACAGAAAGAAGTAGATTCAAATTACGTAAATTCCGCGGGTAGCCTCGTGGTTTCATGTTGAGTCCTTTTGATCTATGATTCTTCCCCAACAGCGAAGCTTCAGCCATAGTAAAAGCTTTCGGAGATCTGTGCAAGATCTGTAAGGAGACATCCGTAAACCCTAAGCTGTGAACATGGATACACCAGGACGTGCGGCAGCCCTCAGGACCGCGTGGGGTGTCACTTCATCCTCCCAATGGCCCTCAGTCGCCCGGTACCGCCCAATGTGACCGTGCAGCGTGTCACCTTGGATGCGGTGGGCATGGACCAAGGTTGGGGTAACACAGGAGCCGATGGAAGTGATGCGAAAGTCCTGGAAGGGAAAGGATGGCGTTTTTGTGTCTTTTTGTTTGGCATCCATTTTGGGGCAAGGATACCACTGTTTGTGGGGTTGTTTGAGAATCGGTGGAGCTCCAAAAAGATCCGACTATTAGCTGGGTCGCTGCAGTAGAGTAGGATCTGACTATTTCCGATCTCCAAGTGGTGAACACTGCAGGTGTGGCAAGTGGCGACCTGTTTTTTATGTGCTGGTACATCATCCTAACTAAGGTGTGTTTCAGTTTCCTTTGGGATCCCAATCTTCCTGATTTGAAGAATATCCACGACATCCCTTTTCTTTCTGCCCACTTGAGGGATTCTCACAGCGTGTGGATGCTGGCGGATGCGGTGGTTTCAGAACTGGAGCTTTGAACAATTGCCTGTCTATCGTTCATGGAGTGAACGAGAATGACAGATTTTCAGGAAACTTGTGCTGCTGAGGCTACGTGTTTCTTTCTGACCGCACTTTCCTATTGCTCATAATCTCAGATCCGGAACTCAGACTCAGACCCTACGATTTACCCTCAGTGGAACAATATTTTACTTTTGGGGGTGGATTAGGAACACCCCACTGAAGACAAAGTGGTGGCAGGTTCGGCTTTACAACCGTTTATAACCGTTATAATGTTCAGCCAGGGCTATGTACAAACTAGGTAGGTTAGGTAGGCGGCAGGTTGCTTGATTGTTTTAATATCATATAGAATACATAATAAAGAAAACCTTTATGATCCCAGGAAAAGCAGGACGAACATCAGGTTTTGCACAAAACGAGACTCAGTGCAGGAGACAGCGGCCTTTTGGTCCAGCTGCGCCGCGCGGGTGGTGACGAAGAAGAAGAGCCCCTCTTGGGTATCGTCTACGACCGCAGGCGAAGCACGCGGCAGGAGTGGCCTGGCTGTGATGGTTGGTGAAGGAGGGGGAGACTTAGGTTTTCCATCCCCAGATACTCCAAGCAGGTGAATAGTCCTTACATGGAATGTTTGGGCATGTGGTGTTTTTATTTGATGTTGCAGAGTTCTTTCGCAGCGAAATCCTGTTGTTTGTCCAATGCACAGAAGCTGCTGGACACGTGCGACTTGACCCCTTTCACCGGTTCCCATTCTGCAGGTTTGCTTGCTGGGCCCACCCAAGCTGTGGGGTTTTCGGAGTAAATCTACCTATAGTGAGACTGGCCGTCAACCACGACTAGGTTTCTTCTACCATGAGAGGGTTACATCTACCGTGCTAGTCTCACCTATAGTGCCTCCAATTTTGTGCCTTGTTTGGAGACCTTTCTCGTTGGTGTAAGGTTTTTGCAGCAGGTGCGGCGAGCCGCACCTGTGTGTCTCCGACCTCCATTTTTGTAGGTCGGTACTGAGCTTGGTCACCCTTTAGCCGAAGAGAAGAATGTTCCGTTCCGAGGTCGAGCTGGGCTATGGAGAAACTAACTAACGGAACCTTGCTGCTGACAGTCATGGGATAAACCCAACATATTTGACAAGAGGAGGTGCATCAGACCATCAGACCCCCGCCTTCGGACCCGGACCCCAAAGTAGATCGACCGTACCTGCTTCGGTGCGAACCAAGCACAGTGTCTACCCAGTGACCAAGAGTCGGTTCAAGCACCTATGGTGGAGAACGGGTGTCGCCAGGAGATCCCAAAGTCGTTCACCTCACCTCTCAGGATCCAAAACAAACTTCTCAGAAGGTGCCACTACAAGTTTTGCTGCATCAAGATCATGTCACCTTGCTCCTCTCAGATCTCGGGTATGCAAGATGTAGACTCATCGATGGAATGTGTCCGGTCTTTCATGGAATGTGTAGACTCAAACCAAGACGTCAACAGAAAGCAATACCGGAGTGGTTTCTGCACAACGCTTCGAAACCAAGGCATCGGGCCACGTCTGAGGAATTGCGAGGAGAGTGGGTGGCCGACACGGATGCGGAGGAAACGTGCTTGTCATTGTGTTCTTCTTTTTGGGGGATGAGATGGGTTTGGTACATGGTCTTTGAAGACCTCGCAGTTCAACTGCAAGACCCTGCACGTAAGTCCATGCAATCGAAGTTTCTGACGCCACGTCAGGCCCTTTTGCGCCTACCGCTGGGGACCAATTCCGCGCGGCTCAGCTCAGTTGAGAGGTCCGGTCGTCCTCCGTCGCCGTGGTCCTTGTCCCGTCCGGTCACCACACTGCTCGTGGCGGTGGGGAGGCCCGCGACGGCCGGCGAGGCGGCTAGGCCCCATGGGCTAGCCGGACGGGTGCGTTTGGGAAACCGGAGGGAGTGAGTTTGAAGAAACCACAGGTGTCCGAAAGACTTACTGTATAGTACAGTACCCAGACACTCCATGTATCGAAGATATGCCCTACATTGATGCGCTGGTTGACATAGGGTCTCCTATCAGTCCCATGGAGTGTTTTGGGTATTGATCATTCCTGCTTTGCAATGACTTCAAGTTTTGCTGAACTCTGGCTCAGGAACATGGAAAGCCACCTGTTTGTAAAGAACGATTCTCGTTCCAGCTTCTTCCAAGTGACCTTTTTGGAGTCTCGTCCAGTAACATAGGCTGTATAGCCTGTTTGTGACTTCAAAACAGGTGTTTGTTCCAGAAAAAGTCAGAGATATATTCTGCTTCCATGTTAGTCAGAGTGGGAAAATTAAACGTCGGATTGGAATGCGATGCATCTATCATTTTTGGCAGGAAGAGGAGGTTCTGATGTTCTCCAAAATGACTTGTAGGTGATGGGCAGATTCACACACGACGGATGGGCAACAAAGCCACAGAAGGTTGACATCCCTACGCCTTCCAAGGCCACTGAAACACATGTTAATATGGTTGACCTGGTTTTTGTTGTGTCAAATCCTCAGTAAAACTACCATGGCTCTACCACTCTACCATGGGTGTTGGGAAAGATAACCTACTGTAAATTAATGGTGGATGACCACCGGAATCGGCATAGATGTCCATGCCCTGGTCTTCTTGTGCGCATTGTCTTCACGTGCGCCCGATGGTCCTCCTGCAAGGTCCTCCTGCGATGTCCGAATTATCCTGGATGGAATGCCTTCTGCAGCCGCTTGTCCCTTCGCGTGGACTGCCTACAAGAGGCCTACTGTACGCGTGGACTGTCTCATGGCGTTTGTCGCTTCATTCGAACGGCAAGGGGCGTGTGGGAAGCGATGTGACATGTGCCGCATAGATGAACATCAAGTTGACAGTGAAAGAATGTTGTTTTCTTGGTGAATCCCACTCCAGCTTCCTGGACAGCAAATCCAAGTTAAATATGTTTACAATTTGTTATCCTGGTGAGTCAAGAAGGTCCTGAGTCCTGAGCTCATTTGATCATCTCGTCAGCTGGAGTGCGCACTGCAGGTGGAGGAAGAGCTACCCTGGTCTTTGAGCGATCACTGGCTCCAAGAGCGTGAAAAGGCCTTCTTCCGACTGTGGGCCGCGTTGGCCGAGGATGACACTTGGCTTACGAAGCTAGGACCTGTAGGTCGAAGCCAGACCCGTTGGAAGATCCCTATGACTTCCAAGATCATATGATTAGAACATGGACGGAAGGACCTGGTTTTGGCAAATGTGACATTCATAGTCAAACAGCTGGTGCTTCTCGATTCGGCCTATTAAACAAACATGGTAGGCCAGGAAGCAGTGGGAAGATCGAAAGTTCAATGAATGGTGTGCGAACTTCAGCCGGTGTTCTTTTTTTGTGCGTATGGCGGGTGGTCGAGTGGTCGAAGATCGACCCGACGGACCCGATGGACCGTACCCGACCAAAAAGGAGTCTGGTCCGACGGACCGGGGGCCCCATGTTCCGAGCTACGAACGGAGGGTCCAGGTAGGTCATGATCTGGTCAATCAATCCCTACCAGCACCCGACTCTACAGGTCTGCGAAATGGAGGAAGGCCGCAGGCCCTTTAAGAGGTCTCAATTGGTGACCTGGCAGTGAAGGTGCTGGTATATATAGGGATCCACCAATCCACCTTCTCAGCTTCGGTATTTTTCGGAGGACCCTCCATGCCAGCTTGTGTCTCCAATGTTGAACACATCACCTTCTTTGATCCAAAGGGATGATACAATCCAATGTTTCTTGGCCACAGGCTTTTTCTTAAAACATCCCGCTGAGATTGAGATGGGTTGACCTGTGATTGATGGGTGAACTCCCCCCATCCCAATTGGAGGGTCCAAGGTTGCGCAGGAGCTCCTCAGGAGCTCCTCAGGAGCTCCTGAAGCTTCTGCTAGAGCCAACAATTGTCAAGGAAAGAAGGGATATGAGTCGAGGATCAATATGGCTTCAGGTCAAAAGCGGGGGACCTTGGTTGACCGCAGAAATGCACAGAATCGATTACTCGGGGAGGTCAACCTTCTCGCCACATCTTGCCACACCTAATAAACAGGCACAATAGGTAAAGACATTTGAAGAGCAACTTGAACTCAAAGGCAATGGTTTCTCTTTTGAGACATCTACATGGACCCTCCAAGTTCCTCGGAAAATTGGTATTTAGTAATTTGGTAATGTCCCATTTTCAAAGGTACTTTGGAGGGTCCAGATACTTTCCAGTTTTGTCTCGTTGCGATGTCAAGTTCTGGGACAAATTTGTGGCACCACAGACCGCAACAAGGAAACAAGCTAGGAGCCAACTCTCACCGCCGACGAGACAAGCACTGCTAGGAGTACGTGACCTTGGATCACTCCCACTTGTCGCTGGCGGGACAGCAGCAGCAACATGTCTGGAGCGCGAAGATCACGGAGACTGGGCCAGACTGGGCCACCGTTCAGCCTGGGCCACGGAAGGAAGGGACAATGCCCTGAACGGCCCGTGGACCCGGGCTCCAGTCGTACCGTCCGTGATCCGAGTCTCAAAGGTCCAACGTTCGATCCTGGTAGCTCTATGATGGCCTTTGACAGTTTCCTTCCTTACCCAGACCATCCATGTATGGCATATTTACATACATTGACCCCGTTTCAACCACCCCAATGTATAGGTAAATAATGGTAATATGCCATACATGGATGGTCTGTGTTTTTTGGGTCCACAAATCCACCTTCTCATAAGACTGGGCCCGACTTTGTCGCGAACAAGCAACAAGTATATACTACTAGTATATCCATTCTCTGAGGTACCCTAAGAATCCCGGAGACCTGCGTTTCGGTGGAGAAGGTCCAACCCCTCCCATCCATGGCCGCCCCATACAGATTCTGAGGGGCTTCTCTTGTACACTCTATTCGTCATTCATGCATGTGGCGTGTCACAAGCAAATGGGCTTTCGGTCCGACCCCTGCCAAGGATTCCTATAGGGTACTTGGTTCGACTGCTCAGACTCCTTGGCTTTTTCCGTCTGGTGCAGACTCGTGCTCCTCAGGACAGCCGCTCTGCAGAGTTGCTCACCTCCCGCTGCTCGACACCGTGCTGCGTTCAAACGGCACGGCACTTGTGCGGTGGTGCACACAGCACCGGCGCGGTGAGTTCAGCGGCGGTGTACACCTTTGGTGTAAAGAGACAGATCAAATAGGTTTGCACCCGTATACTTCATGTAGCATACTGTATCATACTACGATGCGCATTTATTTTTGGTCTAAATTATTAAAGGATGCTAAGGGAGAGAAAAGTGGCTCCTTTTTGAATTTGGATCTGGAGTGTCATCAACTATACAGACAGTTTGCTTGGTCATGTATTTGAAGCATCAATTCTGCTACCAAGGGAACCAGCCAGCGACCTACCAGGTTGGTTGTGAATTCCTCCGCCTTTAGGAATTTCAGGATGCCCAATCCCTAACCCAGACGCAAAAATCGATGGCCTACCTGACTGGTGATTTTTGGCGGTGTTGCGCCACCATGGATCGTTTGGGTATAGCATCTCTACCAGCACATTGGAGGCTGAAACGCCTGGTACAGGCCCCGAACAGACATCATTGTTGCATTTAGAGTTTATTGATTTATAATATAAGTTTTGGTCCGACTTTCGTGGGTCTGACTGGACCTGTAGGGCATGTATGGACCATCCCACACCATCCATGGGATGGCAAGACCCTCGACGCATCGGGACTGGTGCCACCCCAACTGATCGGCCAAAACTCCATAGCCACACGATACTGACCTGTCTTTATAGTCTCATGTCCCATCTTCTAGGGTACTTTGGAGGGTCTCAGTACATGGATTGTGGAATTCCTGTAAGTCAGTCCCTCAATCTCTGAGGAGCTACGACTAGAGCCATTTTTCTTCGGGTCTCCCGTTTGGCTTTATTATCCTTGTGCATGATCATGGCATTCTCATGATGTTTTTCTTCCTTCCCTGAACATCAGACTAAACTCCCAGCTCCCTTGACCCTAATGGGAATTCAACCATGACATTGCAAACAAAAACACAGGTCTTTCCCTAAACCAGTTTGCATGTTTGTTTTCAAGAAGTGAACAGAGATTTGGTGGTCAATTTATGTGGGCTGCTTCAAACAACTGCAGCGCATGTTTCTACCGAATGTACAACACCTTTTGCGGCTCTCCATGGGTGGGGGTGGCGGGGTGGCTCTCTCCAAGAGCTACATGCACTCGCAGAGGCGAGCAGGTGCCAGAGGTTGCTGTCGAACACTGCGAAAACATCTGCGAAAACCCTCTCATGATCAGAGGGTGTCAGTGCAACCCATGGATAAGTCTCCAATCGATAAGTCTCCATAGCACCATGCCCATACACTCCATGTATGGAATATATGCCTACATTGACCCCCCAAACAACCCCAACTGATCGGCATATATATGGCAGTCCCATGGAGCGTTTGGGATGGCACTTTTCAGGCATTTCCTGGTCCTTGGGTCTGTCTCAGGCTTTGAGCTCTTGTCGCGTCACTCTGACGCCCGTGACCCCGCGCTCACGGCGGACGCGCTCCGCCGGGCCACGCAGCTGCTGACGAAGCTGCAGCGGAATGAGGGCGCGGTGGGCGCTCCTGCACAAGCGGCAGAGAGGCCAGTCTGACCTGGTGCAATAGGATTGGCAGATACAAAACCATATGGGTATACAAAACCCTCCATTTCTCGGATCTCCGTTTTTGTTCGGCTCCTGTTCCGCCTTGACATTTGGTGTCGTAGCTACGAAAACCACCAAAACGATCCAAAAAGGAGGTACCTGGCACCTATGGGACACTGATATGGGTCTGCGGCTGATACTGTTGACGGACAAATTTCAGCACCCGTTGACAAAGATGAGTGTCATCAATATTCGTTGGTAGCACTTCCAATTTTCCTGTGTTCTTTTGCGAGTCTCAGGATTTTGTAGATATTTTAGGGGTAAATAAGGTCGGCAATTATTCCAGACAGGACACCCTGACAGGAAGGTCCAGGTAGTGGGTTGTCCTTTGGCTTCTCATGGCTTCTTCAACATGTCCCCCAAACCCTTCCGTCCGTTCTTCGGTGTTTCGTCCGTCGAGCGTCTTCAGGTCCGCGCGCTATGCGGAGCTCACGGGCTATGTGCACCGGACCTTCGATGGATTGGAACAGCATCCCAAGCTCTTCCCCGCAGTGGTCCGGCCACTGGGACGCTTCTGACAGCGCGCGGAGCACGGCGCTCTGTCGGCGTTCGAACAGCGAGATCTTTGGTCCTTCGAAGGGCCGGGGCGACACGAGAGCGAAGGCGGAGGGTCTTATGAAGACGAGAGCGGTTCCACGTTCCGTTCTTGTCCCGTGTTTTTTTGTGGTTGTTTTTACTCCCAGGACTGCCTAGGAGTTGATGGTAGAACCACGAACAACCATTATACTGAGTGCAAATGAGCTGGCTCTATCCGGACGTATCCCGCATGCACCACTTTTGCCATGTCATGTGGCCACAAATCCGAATTGCAGGCCCCCCCCCCAAAAAAGGAAATTAAGATTGGGAAGGGTTAGTGGCTCGCATGACATGGAAGTTGTGTCATATTTGGGAGCATGATTTGGCTCAAGCAAAATCCATTGGCAAAGTGATGAAGCAGGAGGAGGAGGGGTCAGCCAAGAAGTGTTTGATGCATTTATTTATGAGCCTTTTGCAATTGAGCCAAACAATGTCGCAGGAGATTCAGCTGGATCATTCTGAGTCACAGTGCTTTGGGGAAAGCGCAACTCAGGTGCAGCCTGGGCGGTTGAGTGCTGCCCCCGCTATCGCTTGGCTGATTTGTTTCAATATATACATATATATATATACACATAATTATATACTAGGCCCTGTTCACCCCCTGCTAGGACTCTCAAACTGAAGATCCACCACCGTCGCGACACCACATGAAGGCTGGTTCTTGAAGTCTCAGATGCTTGTATTGGAGGCAATGATTAGTGAACAAGCAGCTAACCCGCTCAAAGCTTGCACGGTATAGGCGCAATGGGATTGCTTCCAAGAGCTAGAGGCCAGCCCTTATTTACATGCACAGTATTTCCATGAAGTGTGTTGTGGGAAGCGTGACATGGCAGCTGGTAATGCGTGCGTTGACAGGCTTTGTCACAAGCCATGCCCGAAGAATGCACCGAACGGTGCCCCAACATGCAGGCACGAGCAGCGGCAAACACAAAAGCAGACCCTCACTGAGACTGTTCAGCGCTAAAAGGACTGTATTCATTTGAGAAGGAAAGTAAATTGTGGCAAAGCCCCAATAGTCTGCGTGAAGTCAATTTTCCAGGGCTCTCTAGATTTAGCAGGGAGATACAATTGAAATTGGAAGCACAGGATGACTTGGCATTCTGGACTTGTCTACATGACATGGAGCCCAAAACCTTTGCAGCTTGCTCATTTTTGGCAGGTAGATGAAGAGTCAGCAGTGAAAGAGGTTGAGGTGAGATCCCAAGATTTGCATCAAGTCACACTCTGGTGCACTCTCTAGATCTTACACGCATGACGCTTAATCTTTAATACTGGAGGATCCCGAATACTCTACAGGTGGGATGGGGCGCAAGCAACATTTGGTCGCTCAGGTGAGGCAGGAAGAACTAGAACGCTCCGCCACAGAATTGTTCTGCAGCTCTGCTTCAGAGGCGGAACCATGTTTGTTATAGTCATGCAAGTCCACATGACATGGCAGTCAGTCGCGCTGTAGGATGTTTGTGCAACCTGTATTGGACAGCTTAATGATGCATTTTTCACAGCGTCACGGCCTGTCTCACTCATGTTGCCCCTTAGACCACCAGTGTTGCTTTGTTTGTTCTTCAAGTCTGGCAGGTGGGAGATCGACCCATGACTGCTGTGGAAGGGCCAGAGGCAACCTCGGGTAGTGGGGGTATGCATCATATTGCTCTGAGTAATCCGGTCCACCTAATAAAAAACACGTACCCCCCCCGCAATAAGGAAACCTCGGTCGCATTTTTTCTAATAGGGGGTCCCTGAAATCGGAGGGCCCAAAATAGGGTCACCTGGGAAGAGCTTCAAAACCAAAAAGTAAGTCAGTAAAATTTTATTTAAAATCCTTTATTAAACTCTTATCAAAAATGCAAAAAAGCTCCAGATCGAAGGGTCTTCCTTTTCCCCTACAAAAACCTTCATTAGAATAGTGATTCTTCAGTAGACTAACAGCTAAAGCTTTCGAAAGGTGATGTCGCTGTGCCATGCGGTGTTGCATGACCTCGGTGGCAAGTGCGTTTGTGTGAGTCCGTGCCATTGGGGGAAGGAAAGCCTGCTGGTGTAAGCGCGGCGTGTCATGGTGGATAGACAGGGCGGACAGAGGTGGGCAGTTACGGTTGTTTTTGGAACCTAATAATAAAAACTCCTCCAAAGTCGGCAATGTTGGTAGTTTAGTAGCGGCTTGAAAGGGCGGTAATTTAATAACCCGTATTTAGGGGTTTCCGACATGACTTTTTTCTAATAGGGGTCCTTTTTTAAAAGGTACTCGGGATTAGCCTCGCCTACTCATCTACCCTTGAAACATATTTGTGGGAGCACACTACGCGCCACATGACATGGCCCAGGCAAATCAAGACCCAGCGATTCAGGAGTTGGCGGCACGACCCAGCGAGGCGACAGTATTTGGATGAAGTGTGTTGTGGGAAGCGTGACATGGCATCAGGTGAATGTGCTACTAGTAGTTTCTTGTTACTAGTAGCGATGCACTTGTTACTTTTATTAGACCTTTCTTACATGTGCTTTGGTAATGCGTGCGTTGACAGGCTTTGTCAGAAGCCGTGCCCGAAGAATGCACCGAACGGTGCCCCAACATGCAGGCACGAGCAGCGGCAAACACAAAAGCAGACCCTCACTGAGACTGTTCAGCGCTAAAAGGACTGTATTCATTTGAGAAGGAAAGTAAATTGTGGCAAAGCCCCAATAGTCTGCGTGAAGTCAATTGGGAGATACAAATGAAATTGGAAGCACAGGATGACTTGGCATTCTGGACTTGTCTACATGACATGGAGCCCAAAACCTTTGCAGCTTGCTCATTTTTGGCAGGTAGATGAAGAGTCAGCAGTGAAAGAGGTTGAGGTGAGATCCCAAGATTTGCATCAAGTCACACTCTGGTGCACTCTAGATCTTACACGCATGATGCTTAATCTTTAATACTGGAGGATCCCGAATACTCTACAGGTGGGGTGGGGCACAAGCAACATTTGGTCGCTCAGGCGAGGCAGGAAGAACTAGAACGCTCCGCCACAGAATTGTTCTCCAGCTCTGCTTCAGAGGCGGAACCATGTTTGTTATAGTCATGCAAGTCCACATGACATGGCAGTCAGTCGCGCTGTAGGATGTTTGTGCAACCTGTATTGGACAGCTTAATGATGCATTTTTCACAGCGTCACGGCCTGTCTCACTCATGTTCCCCCTTAGACCACCAGTGTTGCTTTGTTTGTTCTTCAAGCCTGGCAGGTGGGAGATCGACCCATGACTGCTGTGGAAGAGACAGAGGCAACCTCGGGTAGTGGGGGTATACATCATATTGCTCTGAGTAGCCTCACCTACTCATCCCTTGAAACATATTTGTGGGAGCACACTACGAGCCACATGACATGGCCCAGGCAGATCAAGACCCAGAGATTCAGGAGTTGGCGGCACGACCCAGGGAGGCGACAGTATTTGCATGAAGTGCGTTGTGGGAAGTGTGACATGGCATCAGGTGAATGTGCTACTAGTAGCTTCTTGTTACTAGTAGCGATGCACTTGTTACTATATTAAACCTTTCTTACATGTGCTTTGGTAATGCGTGTTCATTTGAGAAGGAAAGTAAATTGTGGCAAAGCCCCAATAGTCTGCGTGAAGTCAATTTTCCAGGGCTCTCTAGATTTAGCAGGGAGATACAATTGAAATTGGAAGCACAGGATGGCTTGGCAGTCTGGACTTGTCTACATGACATGGAGCCCAAAACCTTTGCAGCTTGCTCATTTTTGGCAGGTAGATGAAGAGTCAGCAGTGAAAAAGGTTGAGGTGAGATCCCAAGATTTGCATCAAGTCACACTCTGGTGCACTCTAGATCTTACACGCATGACGCTTAATCTTTAATACTGGAGGATCCCGAATACAGGTGGGATGGGGCGCAAGCAACATTTGGTCGCTCAGGTGGGGCAGGAAGAACTAGAACGCTCCGCCACAGAATTGTTCTCCAGCTCTGCTTCAGAGGCGGAACCATGTTTGTTATAGTCATGCAAGTCCACATGACATGGCAGTCAGTCCCGCTGTAGGATGTTTGTGCAACCTGTATTGGACAGCTTAATGATGCATTTTTCACAGCGTCACGGCCTGTCTCACTCATGTTGCCCCTTAGACCACCAGTGTTGCTTTGTTTGTTCTTCAAGCCTGGCAGGTGGGAGATCGACCCATGACTGCTGTGGAAGAGACAGAGGCAACCTCGGGTAGTGGGGGTATACATCATATTGCTCTGAGTAGCCTCACCTACTCATCCCTTGAAACATATTTGTGGGAGCACACTACGAGCCACATGACATGGCCCAGGCAGATCAAGACCCAGAGATTCAGGAGTTGGCGGCAAGACCCAGGGAGGCAACACTATTGGGCGACGTTGTGCTGTTTAGGTTGCTTTTGAAGTCTGGCAGGTGAGTTCCGGCAGTGGGTGATGATTACATTGCCCTGACATGTTGTTTGGTGATCCATGCTTTGACAGGCTTTGGCAAAGGCCATGACAGAAAGACCTCCAAAGCGGTGCGCCGGAGTACAATGGCTGTGCTGAATGTGATGCCCCTTCAACTATATGTTTAGATGTTCTATGCAAACACATTGTGAGTGTTAAACGCACCCTTTTAATGTACCCTGTCTTTGGCAAAGCATGAGAGGAGAAGACTTCCAAAATCTTTTTCCAATGACGTGGTGCAGGCATTGAAGGCGTGTCTACATGACATGGCAACCAACCTTTGCAGCTTATTCGTGTCCGCAGGTGGAAGGACCCTACATCTTGCAGTAAGATTAGATATCTGTATAAATACAGAATTATTTGTAATTCACTCACCGGGGCAAGCACAGGACGACTTGGCATTCAGGACCTGTCTACATGACATGGGACCATAAACCTTTACAGCTGGCTCGTGTTTTGGCAGGTAGATGAAGAGTCGGAAGGGAAAGCCGTTGCGG